CGTAGGAACCATGCTGGGCCTCTGCGCCTCTGTGCAGCCGCTGACCAGAACCTTGGGGCCCACCCTGGGAGGCCTCCTGTACCACAGCTTCGGAGTCCCCGTTTTCGGCCACGTGCAGTTCGCTGTCAACTTCCTTGTCCTGCTGGTCCTCTGGAGGCAGCCTGTGCCCCCAAAGATGGACAAAGCCTGGTGACCGTGGCCCCCAGGCACAGACTGGCAATAAACTCCCTTACGACCTCTTCCAGCCTGGTTTCTATCAGTTGGGCAGGGGGCCTGGGGACGAGGGCAGGATGGAGCCTTGGATGCTGGAGGGCTTCCTGGAGGAGAGGGCCTGCAGCTGTGCCCCAGGGCTCCAGGGAGAGCAGAATCACCCAAGTTCATCCCAGTGGGAGGTGGGTCCTGCCCCCGGAGTCCGCCACCAAGGTCAGTGAGGAGTACCCCCTGCTGCCACCCAGACAGCTCTGCCCACGGACGTCCCCAGAGACAGGGAGCTCCGTGCTCACCCCTTCACACCCCCCACCCCACACCAATCCCCCGCCTGGGGCCGAGCATGCGCTGCCCGCACACCCTCCTCGGCCCTTGAAATTGCTTCCACTCGTGAACAGAAACAGGACATGGTTGTTTGAAAAGATCAGGACTTTTGACGCTTGGGAAGAGATCTAGGAAAAGGACCCTCATTTCACGTTGGGGAGCCCAGTGGGGGGAGGGGCAGCATCCAGGCTTGAGGACTGGGGAGCGTGCCTCCCCCTCCCCCCGCCTCCCAGCTCAGGTGCTACAGAGAAGGGCTACCAGACACAGGGAGGCCAGCAGGCTGCCGTGCCCCATGACCAGTATGGAAAGGACAACCTTGTCAGGTGTCTACAGACGCCCTTGAGACCAGGAAGGCTACCCCTCCCCCGCAGGCTGCCTTTAAAAGAAGCTGTTAAACTCAGAAACCCCAACCTCAGAATTTCACGTCCCAACTGGAGGGGCCTCAGAGAGCCAAGGTCTGCCCACCCTCCCGGCTCAAGCGCTCAGGCCGGACCCCACCTCCACTTGAGCCTGTCAGGAACTGGGGTCCCACCGTCTGACTTTGGTCATTCACCCAGAAGGTCTGGCGGGAGGGGTCTCCAGGGTAGGGCAGCATGGGGGCGCACCCTGGGGTTGGTCTTTTCTACTCTCTGAAGGAGCCCCCTCCCCATTTGCACAGGGGCTTCACAGTGCTGTTCAGGAGAAAATTCATGGCAGGAATGGTTTCTTCTCTGGACCCAGCACCCAGGCTCCTGCAGGCCTCCCAGCAGAGGCACAGCCCCTCCCCAGTCTGACCCCTGCCACCCGATTAGGAGGCCTGTGATGGTGCCCCCCCTCCCCGCATCAAGGGTAAGTGACTGACATTAGGGCCCAATTTTGGTCCTTCACTCCCCTCACCTCTGCCCCCCACACTTGGCTCCCTCCAGCCACAAAGGTGAAATGAAGGTCCCCTGGCTAGGCCGGGATCAGCGTCCTGTCCCCTTCTTCCATCCTGGGCTTCATCACCCACAGCCCTCCCGGGTGGAGAGGCACACCTCCCCTCCGGAGCCGGGGGGTTTGGGGGCAACCCTGGATGCACAGGGTCCCAGCAGGCAGGAAGGGCAGAAGCTGCCCGCTTTGTCAGGACCTCAGGCCTCCCCATCCTGATGTCACATCCTGGGCCAATCGGAGGCCTCAGCCTCCTGCCACGCCGGCAGAAATGGTGCAGGCCTGTCTCCCGTTGGCCCAGAAGCACTGCCCACCTTGCTGGCCCCGCACGTCAGGCACTGGCCAGCAGCGTGTTAAGAGGAGTGCGGCCGGTGGGCAGCCAGAGGCCTGAAGGCTTCCTTTCAGGGGGCTGGGCAGGCGGGCGGGAGGGGGCAGTTAGGGTCGGGTATCCCACCGCGGGCCGAAGCAGCTCAGATGGGGGAGGCGGGATGACCTCACAGGGGCATTTTGTGAGTAGCTTCCGGGAGCAAAGCCGGGGCCCTGTCCTCCCCATTCCACACCCGGGAGCGGAAGTCAGGGCCACCCCCAGGGCACTTCCCCGCCTCCAGCGACGGTGCGGCCAGGGTCCGACGGATAACAGTGTTCATTCAAAGAGCACTTCCTTGCCCTTCGGACACCTGGGGTGGCCGCTCCCCCCAACCAACACACACTGAATGAAGGGGCCACCCACTTGCCTCCCACAGGAAGCTCACCGCACCACACCGGCTGGTAGAAAAGAGAACAAGTCAGGTAGTTTATTTGGAATGGACACATTGATTACACACACACACACACACACACACACACACACACACATATATACACACATATATATATGTATATATATTAAGACAGATGGTTTTAACACAAATACTATCAAAATAAATACATAGATAGTCCAATAATTTAATGCACCCGCACAGCGGGGGCGAGGCTCCGCGGCTCCGCACGGGAGGGTCCTTCTCTGCCGGGCAGGGACGCAGCCCCGGCTTTTGTCCTCGCCGTGGTCGGTGGCTGGGCGCCGCCGGGGCTTCTGCCGCTCCGGGCATTCCCTGAGCTCCTGCCGGCGCGGCCCGCGTCCGGCCCGACTCGTCCAGTGTGTGGTTCCTGTGGGGAGAGGGGGGAGGTTCAGGGAGCTGTGCCCGAGCCCGGTGGCTGAGCGAGCCGGGGTCCAGCCGGTGGGTCTCCCGAGGCCCGGACACGGAAGAGGCAAGCGACGGCTCCTGCCGCGCGCCCCAGCCGCGCCGCGTTGGCGAGGCCCCCAGTCCCCTCTCGACAGCGTTCCCTAGACGGGGCAGGACCTCCCCCCGACGTCCGAGGTCGACATCATCCTCCCCGAGGACCGCGTCCAGCGGGCGGGCGGCACTCACCGCGGCGGCGCTCAGGGCGCGCGGGCCGTCCCGGCCTCGGGCTGCCCGACGGGCGCGGCGCGCTCCTGGCGGCTGCGGAAGTCCTGCAGGGCGCGGCGGTTCTGGAAGTCGATGAGCGCCAGTGTGATGGCCGCGTTCCAGCAGCTCTCGCCCGCGCAGCGGAAGTCGATCTCCTTGCGGTCGGTGGTTACGATGGTGAAATAGACGTACTTGCCCGTACGCTCCACGCAGTCCACCTTGAGGATGGAGTGGAAGCGCAGCTCCTTGGGGCGCGCGCCGGGACCGGTGGGGAACAGGCTCAGGCAGTCAGGGGTGAGCACGCCGCGCTTCCTCTTCCACAGCTGGAACAGGCTGTCGCTGCGCTTCTCCAGCTCGCCCTCGCGCAGCACCTCCCCGGGGGTCTTCATGTCGGCCGGGTGCAGCTCGCAGAGGCGAAAGCGCTCCGGTGGTGGCGGCCTCTGCAATGCGCCCCGGCGCCCCGGCGCCGTCTTTATAGAGGCTCCGCCCCACGCCTCGGTCCGGCACGCCCCCTCTCGGCCACGCCCCGCGCCCCCTTCCTGGGCCCAGGCCGCCCCGCTCCCCCCAGCCTGACCACCCCGGGGCTGCGCGCCGCACCCCCACTCCGGGTCGCCGTGGTCGCCCCCCCTTCCCCTTGTCTGCAGCCCGCCCCCCCC